TCATCATGACAAACTTGTGCTTTTTTACATACCACATGAAGCAATCATATGTTTCTTAAGATAACGTAGAAAACTCAGGACTGAGAATATAACTCAAAAAAAGTGTCTTCGATGTGTTTCGGTGGCCTCTATAAGCTGCAATCTTTTAGTATCATCCCAACTAGCTCTTAACATGAGGTTTCAATCCCGTAGCTCCATTCATCTCATATCTGAATTTGAAGGTGACAACAGGACTTCAAGTTCCTGAAAAATACTTCATTGCCATCCCAAGAATGCATATCATGTGTTAATGCATCTCAAAATCCTTCAGAAACAACATCCTTCTCATGCTACATCATTTAATAGATATAAGCAAATAGTGGTATTTTTAATACCATCTCAAAATTCTTTTTACCAAATATCCATTAATGTATCTCAAAGTTCTTAGGAAACAACATCTTAATATATCTTCTTTAAGTTGAATAATCTTACAAATAAGGCATGATTCAACTAATAATGGGTAGGTAGAAACATCATAAGAATTTAATTTTATTTATTTTAAATGAATATTCAACCTTTCATGCTGTATGCAAACTTGACATAAGGAAAGTTTTTTGGACATTTAAAATCCTTAAAGATAAAAAAAGATCTAAGTTGAGAGTTGCTTATGATATTCCAAAATTTTGTGACATTCTGTCGAGGGATTGGACGGACAAGACACCAACAATTATGCATGTATGTATGTATATGTATGTATGTATATACATATACATACATACATGCATAATTGTTGGTATATATAGGTTAGAGCATCCTTACTTTATTAGCTTTAATATATAAAAAAATAATAAGGAAAATGAAATTAAGAGGTATATATTCAATAATGAGAATATATTATCATAACAACTACTGGAGATTCCTAATATTGATATTTAACATATGATAATATTGATATGGTAATATAATAACTCAAATTTATATAAAAAAAATTGCCTACTACTATATTATACATAATATAGTGTATTATTATTATATGTCTAGAAATATAAAAAGTCCTTAAATAAATATGCGTTAGAATATGTTGATAAATATGGTTTGAATTTCAGAAATTATAATTTTGGTTTCAAATTAGCATATTATATAAATTGTCATTAGTTCTTAATTTTAATTCATTTAAGAAAAGGTTATGAGATTTAACATTATCATAATTAAATTCCTTTGAATATCCTCAAATGATTTCTTTCCATAAATTTTTGCATTATTTTGATTAGGCCAGTTCAGATCAAACTAGAGTTCTAGTTTAATCACTAATTTTATCTAATTAATGTTTGATTAATAATTAACATAATAAAAAGAAGTAAATGCAATCTCAACTTTAATTAGTTATTCATAATTAAATTACATTATTCTAAAAATATATTAAATATCTATATATTTTATATAAATCAAATTCATGTACAAATATTATGATTTTAGAATGAAAACTTTGTTTCACTTAAAATTTTATTAAGACTACGCGCACCCGCACTCAACACACATAACATATATATATATATATATATACCACTTACTGTGACTCTTTGGTTGACATTCGCAAAGTCAGCTCCAAATGCCCTGGGGTCACGACTTTGAGCCCGCCTGAGTGCATCTATCGTGCAGTACATGATCGACTGGTCAGACACATGAGGGTGGCAGGGGCTCGTATCATGGCCTCCGATCATTATTTTAAAAAAAAAAAGTGCGCAATTAGTGGCATGTTGGTTGGCAGTTTCTGCATAAGTGCCCTCGGTCTTGAGTTCGAATCCAACTAGGTCGAATTAGCACATATGGGGTGGACAAACACATGTTGTCATCTATTCTTATATATATTATATATATATATATAGATAATTTTTGATAGTTTTGATCTTGTTACTAATTGAGGAACAAAAAAATCACCCTATATGACATCACTGAAGTTAAAATGAATAAAAGTTATCTGAAGTTTGATCCATATGTTCTAGCACATCAAATTAATTAAGTATATTACCTTAGATATCACGGTGGAACACAAGATAAATTTGATTGGGCAGTGGTTATAAAGACAAAGCCTAGAGAAACTATTAATGTATAAAGCATTATTTAAACTACACATAAAAGCTTCTCCTTGATTACTATTGAGCAAGGGTTTATCTTGGAAGATGTCAGTAGGGGGTATGAAGAAGTTACTACAATTATGGACGAGCACGATGATTATATGAATGAAAAAAAAATTAAGTTCACTATCTTCTCACTCATCTCATGAAATAGAAAAATATTGATATGTAACATTAGACTTTTGTTTCTTTTTGCTTTTACTGCTTGCAGAACTAGCTATTATTACTCACATTGTTTGTTCTATGCTTTCTTACTTTCACTTTTAGGGTATGTTTGGGGCAGCTGCAGCTTATTGTATAATCTGCTGATAAGCTGATTAAAAATAATATGCTGACAAGTTAGGAGCGGTGACTATTATAAATTTTTATTTTTTTGAAAAGTCAGATTGCTGTCATAAAGCTCACGTGCAGCGTGAAATGCTGTTTTCAGTGTTTTCAAAACGCAGGTGCATTTTCAAAACTCCACCGCATCAAATAAGCTGCGTCAAACAGACCCTTAGTGCTTCTACTTCTGAGGTGTCGTACATATGTTTATTATGATTTTTTGGTCATATTTTTGCATCTTCCTCCTTTTACTTTACTTATTTTCTGCTTAATATTATTTTAATTAATTTCTTTCCTCTTGTTACAAGCAGACTTCAGGTGGGAGGGGAGAATGACCACCTCAGAGATTGGTTTGGTCTAGCTTGGTGTATTAGAGGAAGAAGTAGACTTTTGCTTTTGCTGCTACAGTTCTTCATATTTCTTTTTTATTGTATAACACAATTTACCTTACATTTACTCATGAAAAATCAACTCGGATCGTTCCTTAATTTCTTAATATAATCAAAATTGAGTCATACGTGTTTGCCACGAATTTAATTTCACTTCTAAATATGAACTATTTTCATTAATTATGATGCAATAAATAGTAACAATAATAATTTTAAATATATACATATATATATTTGGTAAATTTAGAAAAAATGTTTATCCTTATGCCGACAATCAACAAAAATAAAAAAAAAAAAAAAAAAAAAAAAAAAAACAAGCCAGTTACTTATTTAATTAAAAAAATGTTGCTTAAGAAACATCTCTGATCATGCTATTCTACACCTTTTCAAGATTAAAAAAAAAATAATTACATTTATTGTTTAATTACGATTTTTAAACCTTTCTCCTTCTGCACTTCAATTTTTTCTTCCCGGCTTTTATTCAACTTTCACAAATATCTTTTAATATGTAAATCATAGATGTTCAAAAGAATACATCCCTGCCAATAAAAGTTGGTGTCGTAATCCGTGGGATAATAATGTCTTTAATATATTAATATTGTTATTTAATTTTCTTCAAAACAATCTTGATGTAATAATGTCTTTAAATTTTAGTTTTTATAAATTGCATGTAATCGTATTCAAAATGTTATTGCAAAAGAATTTGCCACTTTAATTTCATTATTTGCTTCATTTTCTTCATAAATTTATCATAGTGATTTGTTCATTCCGATCAAATTGAGAAAAATATCTCTATTTGTATTAATAAAACTCATCCCTGATTAAGTTTATAATTTCTTTCAATTCTACAAAAAAAAAAAAAAAAAAAAAGTCTATTATATCTCTGCTGTGTTTTTTTTTTGGCAGAGATAACAATGGCTCATGATTATACTTACATCGAGCCTAACTTTGTGCTTCCCTCAAAATTTGAAAAACATTTACCTTAATATGTATATGTTTCAGAAAGTGTTTGGACGAGTGGTTTTGAAAAGCATAAAAATTTGAGAAGTCCGTTATAAATTTTATTTAATGCATCGTTGCTACATGAATCAGTGCTTATTTTTTGCCTTAATATTAATTTAAAAATAATCAAACATTATAAAAATAGCACTAACCAAGTCAATAAGTCATTTAGAAATAAAAAATAATAATTACAAGAGTTAGCTATTGAATTATTGTAACATAAAGTGTTATAACTACTATAAACTTTATTCGAGGAAAGAAAGTGATATTGTCTACATTGGAAAAAAATATATACTATGAACATAAAATACATAAATTCTAGAAACTAAATAGAAACATCCCCTAAATATCAAAATATCAAACAGTGTATGAGATAAAGCTCAACAGTCTTACAATAAAAAAAATCAAAATGTATTAAACTAAAGTGCATAAAATCAAATTTGAGCAATAATAATGGATTGAAAATATTTCACACTCTTCCTTTTTAATACGTGTGTTTGTCGAAACTATCACTGTATTTATTTGTGACAACCTCTCTTAAATATGAGGACTAATTAATAGTTAATTATTTTGTTAACGATTAAATTTATATTTTAAAAAATTTATTTATTTATTCTAAGAAATTAAATTTATTAAAACGTTAAATTTTTTATTATTATTTTTTAAATTAAGATTGATTTAATTATAAATAATCTATTAATTGATTCAAAGTAAATTCGATTCTAAAATTAGAAAAAAATTAATGAAAAAGAAAATTTTTAATTAATTTCAAAAGTTTGAAAATTTCATGATGCTCGATAACTTAAAATTGCTATTTAATTATATTGGAAATAATCATATCATGAGATTATTATTTCATAATTTTAGTAAATGAATTCAAATTTATATTAAAATGAAATAAAAAATTTAAAAGCTTCCCGCATTTAAAGGAATTAAAGAATGCGAGAATTTATTAGATAAATAAAAAAATTGAACTAATTATTAAAAGAAAAAAGATTCCCATTAATCATTAACGTAACAGAAAGCGAATTATTTGATGAAATTTTAAAAATCAGTTGACGGATTGCGAGAGGAGCGGACGGAATCGAAATTACCGTAAGAAATTGAACTAATTATTTAATCTATAAATAAGAGAGTATGATATCTTCTTAATTTCACACATTTACACCGAGTTAGAAAGAGTCTCTTTCGGCCTACTGACGCGAAGAGAAGGGGTTCAATTAGACCAGCTGGGCCCCACCTCTCTCACTCACAGCCGTCTCTTTCCACCTCTTCCAAATTGCAGAAGGCTTTCTTTAGGTTATTATTCTTCATTCTTTATCTTAATTTGGGCTTCTTTTTTTCATGTA